TATGAAGTAAAATAAATCCCAGAGAAAAGTCTAACTAGAAATATTTTAAAAATATACCCTCTCTTTTTAACATCATATTTCTGAAATAGTATTATACTTGAAAACATCTCTCCATTTTGTGAGTTTCTCTAACTGTATAGTGGAATGGACAAGGGCTTTAGAGTTGGTGAATTTTGCTCCTGATATACTAGTTGATTGCTGAACAGAAGATTTTACATCAAATTGTTGAAAATTATTGTGCCCCTTGGTGCACTATTAACTGAATGCAGGGAATTAGTATCATTCAGTCTTAGAGTGTTTCTCTAAAGCAAAGTTTCTTTTTTTAATGTTTTTTTTTAGTTGTAGTTGGACACAATACCTTTATTTAATTTATTTATTTTCATGTGGTGCTGAGAATCAAACCCAGCATCTCTCACATGCTAGGTGAGTGCTCTACTGCTGAGCCACAAGCCCAGCCCCAAAGGTTCTTAATTATGGTATTGGTATGAGAATTTTGCTTTTGTCCTCATACACATATTACTTGGATGCTTGCAAGTTCAATGATAGATTTGTATATACTAAGAAAGGTGGTGATTTGAGTTCCTTAGAGCTAAAATTCTAGGATTCTATCTATTGCCCAGGTAGGTAGTGAGAATATTCCTAAAGTGCCTTGGCCTGGGCAGGATATGATTTCTAAGGCGGCTGACATTGTCTCTCTGGGTCACTCCTGAACATCTGTGGATGCCACTGTTGAACTGATGTTCAGGAAGTCAGAATCTGTAAAACTTCTTTGTCAGAGACAGGCTAGGAGTGTGGAGCAGGACTGAAAGAAAGTGTTATTTATCTATCACATGGCAGCTCTGCTCAAAGGAGCATTGGCAAGCTAAATGAAGCCTAGTGTGCTCAACAGGCTTCAGTGCATGGAGGAACCGGGGTGAAAGTTAAGAGAATGTAGAAGGAATGAGTAGGAAAGGTGGCTGGGGTGGGGAGGTAAGTACAGTTGGATAAAGGGACACCCTATGGTTACCAGGCCACTTTACCCTACTGAGTACAGATCCCCAGACAAGATCCTGGACTCTATAGGAGCAAGCTTACTTGGAGTTGGCAGCAGCTATAAGACTGATCCTGGGAGTTGGAGGGAGGGAGCAAATGATGTTTCAAAGTTTGAACACTGCTCCAGATGCCATTCTACACACAACTTTGACCTCAAGCTGTCCCCTTTCTCCAAGGGGCTGGGTACTACTTGACAGCTATACTTAATTCTTTGGAACACTATTATAAGTCATTATTGTAAAATGAATGAATGTGAGGGTACTTTGAAGTTAAATATATAGAAAAATCACTGCTTATATCAATGTTGTCATTTTGAAAATTAATTTTGTATGATTATTTGGATTTTAGGTTATACTTATTATATCACTATATTCATTTATATATTCATATATTTTCTTGAGTAGGAGAGAAATGAAATATATTGGGAACTGCACAGGGCTCTGAATATTCCTGTGGGAGGGAGAAACTTAGGTATAAGAATGTCAGCAGAGGAAGGGCAAGATCTGCTGCTTCAGATAATGAATGCCTTTTCTGACCAAATATTTTTCTATTATGTACTCTGACTTAAAAGGAAAGATTTTGGTACAGAGTTTGTAAAATTTCTAATATGCTAATATAAAATTATTTAATTGTGAGCTTTTCTCATCCCCTTTTGTCATCTTAAATTCTTTTTCTCTTACTACTTTGTCAAGAGAAAGGATAAAATCTTCTTAGGTGAATTCCTGAGGGGGGAAAAAAAAGCAATTAGATGGGAATAAAAACCATGGGGACCTAATGCATTAGTGAGTTGTATCAGCATATGTGTGAGAGAAATGTGGGAGTTTGGGGGCACTATAGAAAAGAAGAGTGCAGTAGAGTTTAGTAAGAGTCACTGTTAGGCTCCTTTACATGTTTGAGAGGCATATGAGGAGAAAGATTGAAATTCTACACTGTTATGTTTCCTTAGTCCAACATCACTCTGGGACAGATGTCTGGCACTGGGATGTGGTAGATGGAGGGTCCTGTCACATGAAGGGGTTTGTCACAGTTTTATAGCCATAAAACAAACCCTGAGTTCTTTAGCTAATATTGTTATCCTTTAATCTACTGCATCTCTTCCCCCTAAACAGTCACAGTTCTCTGGATCAGGGACAGGGTGGGTGGGTGGCAGTGATAATAAGGGGATGGCAAGGGGACACATTCCAGCTTTTGTTCAAATAAGATGCTGATAAGACTCAGATATGAAACCTTTAGAACTATGGTTTATTTTGTTTCTGAAAAAGTATATTAAGGGCAAAAGCAGTAGCACATATGTCTTTGTCAGAAACAAGGATAGCAAATCAGTCACAAAAACTTCCATTTGGTCTCCCAGAGATTAGACTGTAGAATTGAATCAAGCTGCCAACCTTATATAAAGCACCTGACTTTTGGCCTACGTGTGACAGGGCTATCACAGAGTTTGCCACTCACTGGCGCTTTGCACAGAAGATTCATGCGCCTCACTAAATCATCAACCTCTGACCCTTAGATACAACCCTTCATCTTGGCTTGACCATTGGATCCTTTTTGCTTTTTGGCATTTTCTCAGATTCTTTCATTAATATCTTCCAAATATGATAGTTATTCATAATCTTGAAAATGCAGACAAGGAACTGTCTTATCTACTTTTACTTTTCTTTCCAAAGAAGACTTTTACCTGCCTGTCTCTATATAGTCATATCATACTTAAACAGCTTTGTTGGCAGGCACTGACTGTAAAGTCTGTTAACTCTCTACCACAACAACAGGCCCAGATTAAATTATTTTAGTTTTAGAGATTCCAAAGTCATCTTCTATGAATGCAAACTCATTTCATGGTCCCTTTCTATTAGGACTTTTCCCTCAATATTCAAGCATGCCAAAGCCTCTTCAATAAAACATATGAAAATAGGAAACAAGATATATTTCCTCTACTTCTCTTTCTCTGGAGAAACATTTCTGGAAACACAAATTAGTACTGTGCATTGCTCTTCTCTCTGACTTCACATTCATTCCTCCTCTATTGCAAGATGTCTTCCACAACTTTATTGAAAATACTCTTGCAAAGGCTGCCTATGAACACCTGGATGCCTCACTGCCCAAACCAATGGACACACTTCACATTTTATTTTACTGAAACTTTGTGAAGCCTTGGACCTTATGCTCCTTGAAGCTTTCTCCTCTTCAGGCTTATGACACAACACCTTATATGTTCTTCATTACTTGTTTGGCTTTTCTTTCTCACTCTCCTTGGGGTATACTTTTTCAGTTCTTATCTTAAGTCTTGGTGTGTTCTAGAGGATGACCATTTTTTTTCTTATTGATTTGAATCCTTCATATTCTTTATTGGTTTTCTGAACTACACTTAAAGCTTAAGATACAATCCACATGCTAATGATCTTCAAATCTATATCCCCAGTCTAGAACTTTTTACTTATAAAAAGAGACCCCACCTATAAATTTAACTACCTATTGAATATCTCCACTTAGATGTCCCACAGGCATGTCTGACATAGCATGCTGAAAATGATCTTATTTCTACTCCAAAATTTGTCTTTCTTCCTCTCTTAATGATTATACCATCCATCAGCTTGTCTAATAAAGAAGCCTGATAAAGTTTCTTGATTCTTTTCTCTTTTCCTCCCTGCATATTCAATCAGTGACCAGGTCATATTGGTTTTCTTGCCTTATAGTAAATAAATTCTTTTATCTCCTGACCCCAAGTGTACTCCTGTTTCGTAAATTAGGTCCTGATCTCTTGTATCTTGGATTATTGAAAACATATAATCATCTCTGATTCCAGTCTTGTTCCTTATTTTGCAATCAATCAAAATCAGCCCTAGGGTGATCTTTCTGAAATGCAAATGTGATCATGTCATTTTCTTGCTTTAAAAAAAAATCCTTCAATGGCTGTCCATTGCTTTAATGACAGAATCCCAAAGTGCCTTTCTCCCCATCCCCCACTCCTTTACTGCTTCCTGTGTTGGACCACTTTGAGGAAGATGGGCTAGAGTAATAGTTTAATCTCTAGCTATTTCATGCTTGGCTTCACTTTACTGAGACTGCCAATTAGTGATTTAGAGGTGAACTCTTATATGCTCACTGTGAACTGAAGCCTGTTTCAAATAGTCCTTGAAGGGCCTTGGCCTTATTGTCACTAAAGCACTACACCAACTTGAACCTGTGACCTGAAGCTGAATGTCTGAATATCCTCTTGGCTATCCCCTGAGTCAGGGAAAAATGAACTTGGGAAATGCTATAGTTATTTCTAAGTCTAATTTCTCCTAAAAGAAGAAATATATTTCTAACTTAATGATATTTTAAATGTAATATTTTCAGACATAGATGACAATCTTTTTTTTCTTTGACTTTTCTCCTTCTTATAATTGCTTTTCAGAGAGAGGTGAGTAGATCTTCTCAACTCCACTGACTTTTATAAAATGGTGCATGAGTGCCTTTATTTTCTTGTCTTGTAGTCTGTCCTTTTCTGGTTTTAGGAAGTTAACAACAGCTAGATGTGATCATATCACCTGGAAGCATTCTTGCTCCTGGCTGATTCACAAATTACCTGTCTTGCCTGCCATTTTAGATAGAGGGACATAGCACAGATTGGACAAGAAAATTAGAGGTGCCGCATGTACAAAAGTTGTATTCATGAAGGTAAAGAGGGATCCATAAAGAAAGATCGATAAATATCAAAGGCCCACATGTAAAAAATATAAACAAACTAATTCATAAAGTTGAAATAGAAAAGAGAAGGGGAAGCTACTTTTTTTCCTCATGAAAAAATTTCCATAGTTTTCATTAATGCCAACACTTTGTTCAGCTGATAAATAAAATATAGCTTATACAAGACCGACAACTAGGTAGTTACCAGGGCAAACTCTTTCCCCTCTATCTACTATTCTTGTCTGTAGCTTAAAAGAAATTATGATTGTCAAGGGGGGGAAAAACAACATTATGCATCTTACACAAGGATGTCTTCCACTAGGGTGTGAAGGGCACTGGGATTGCGGATCAGTTTGTCAAGGAAGCTGACAATGTCAGTAAATTTTGGTCTGTGGTTTCTCTCCTTCTGCCAGCAATGGAGCATCAGTTGGTGTAGAGATGCTGGGCAGCCCATAGGAGCTGGAAGTCTGTAACCTTCTTCAATGGACAGAATGACCTAAATGCAAACAAACACAGATTATTCTCTTATCTGGGTGGATAATTATATATATGTTAAGTAACAATTACTTTTTATGCAAGCAACAGGAGCCAAAATATTGGTAAGCTTGTGAATACACAGGAAAAATTCCAAAGTTCTGAACAAGAGCTGAAAATAGCCCCACAGTGCATGCTGACCACTATTAGAGAAAACAGGTTTTAAACATGCTGTGTTACTGGTGTACACAAGAGAGTTAGATTTCACCACAACCTCAAGAAAGAGTTTTTTTTGTGATTTTTCTGGAACATGAGAAAGTCAGTGTGTGAACCATGCATTTTGTGTAAACTAATGCAAACTACATGTGATGATCATTTCAGGTAAAATTTAAGTAAAATTCTGCTAAAGCATGATTTCTGGAATCATTTTCTATCCTCTTTATAATAATGTCAATGTATTTTCTTTTCTATCATTCCTTCTTTATCATGTATTTAATTTCTTTTCACTTTTAGCTTTCTCTCAAGTCTGACACTGACCTGACAATGAAGTCATCCTTTCATAACTTATAAGGTTGTTTAATCCTTGAAATGCTACCAATGGCCAGTCACCAATCAATAGGAGCATTTAGCCCCAGTATGAAACAGAACTTCTGTGATGATACACATCTTCTCTCTGTCTGGTTGGTAGCAACCAGTCATGTGTGACCATTGAGTATTTGAAATCTAGTTACAAGGACTGAAGAACTGAATTTTTAATTTGAGCTAGTTTTAATTCACTAAAGTTTAAATGACTACCTTCTATGGAATAGCAGCTTTAGGGAAAAAAATACGCATAAGAAAGTAAAGTTAAGAGTAACAACAGGATGACAACTTGTTAGTCTTGGTACTTAGAAAATCACACAAGATCAGGGAAGACGCTAATCTGTTTCATATATGACCCACCTGGGAACTTCCTAAAAATGCAATAAAACTGATCCTAAATTCACGTTGCTTAGTTTTAGTAAAATGTTCAAATGCGTTTTGTGAACCTTTTTTTATATATATATATATCATCTCTGGAGAAAAATAAAAGACAAAGGGTTTATTCTCCATATTTTTGGGGTGGCAATGAGGTAGGAAAGAAAAAATAAGAACAGGTGGAAAAAAGAAAAAGAGGGAAAGAAAAAGGGACTATAGATTTAAATCTAAGAACCCTGTGAACATCCTCAGTTTCACTCATCTGGGCTTATTTTCCTGTAGGCCTGAATTCTTAAAAGATCCAGTAAATCTAAGAGCACTGTGAGTCCAGTTAATTAGTGCCTATGTACCTTATTAGATTATAGAATGTATCCTTAGACTGATTAAAGGAAGCAGAGAGAGAGAGAGAGAGAGAGAGAGAGAAGTGAGAGAGAAACACGGTATGGGTACACAGTCCAAGTGCTATGTATTAACTAGATAATGTCAAAGTGAAGATTGTGAGAAGAACCAGATGACCATGACTGCTCTCTGCACCACCATGAAAAGAATCCAGCTCATTAAGCTGACTCATCCCACCTATGTTTCAGGCTCAGCATTTCCTTTAAAAGTTAAGCCAGAGGCCCCCAAAGAACTTCTCTCTAATACCTATACCCCTCTCCCTTTGAGTGCTGTATCCTGTGCTATTATTACTTTCCTGAATAAATATCCTTGCTTTATTAAATAAAACTTGGCTTGTGCCTCTTCTGATATGTCCCCAAATTCCCTTCTGTGGGATAAGAACCTGGAAGGGTTAATTTGAGGTACCCTTTTCCTTCTGGGAGCCTCCTTAAACCTTATCTGGTGACAGAAAAACGGAGAATCAAACTAATATTTAAAGACGGGGACAGTTACACCTTACCACCACCCCATCCCAACACCCAAAATGTAAGTGTTAATATCTTTAACAGAAGAATCCTACTGCAGCACCATCTGCACATTTTCTGTAATTAAAAAGAAATATGGACTCTCCATTTTTGTTTATTTTTTTAATTGGCACCATTTGACATGACCCTAAAATATGTTATTCCTGAATTTATGTTACAGGTAGTTTGTAAAAAAAAATAAAGCAGTAATGATATATGTTCGGGAATCCTTTAACCACTTTAGTATTAGGAAATTTTGTATAATACCAATTAGTGTCTTTATGACCATAATCCTTTAAAATGTAAGGATATTTATATTTTTCTATTAATTTTATGTTCCATTATTAAACAAGATTTTTTTCTGAACTTTTTTTTCTGGCTACTTTGGCTGTCAAGTAGGTTTGGATTTTAAGATAATTTATTACAAATTTTAGTAAAACAGGAGTGTATAAAATGCTTTTAATACATCATAATTACTGTAGGTAGCTTCAAAAAGTAATTAAGAAAAAATAGTATAGAATTACATTAGAGAATAACCTTGAATTCCCACCCTAGCAGAGCTTTATAGTCAATTTGCCCCAGTTTCTTAATTATAAGAGCATGGAGTAAAATAGGTGGCAAGTGATATTATAAAAAACTGATAACTGCATTTATTGAATATTTCCCAGGGGTTAGGTTGTTCATGTATTTTTCTTTATTTACTGCTTAAAATTACTCAGTGTAGTAATTATTATTATCCCTATTTCATAAATCAAAAAATTTAGACTCAGAGCAGATAGGAAACTTGCCTAGATTCACAAAGTATGCAGCAGAACTGGAATTTGACCTTAGTTCCTTTTAAACTCAAAATTTCTCCTCTGGTCTTTCATCAGAGATGTTTTTCCATTTTCATGATGCAACATCTTCTGCTCTAATTTTATATCACTTAACTTAATCTGAACACTGATTACCATGTTACATTTCATGATAGCTTACGTTAAGTGGACTTCAAGGATTTTATAAATTTAAAATAAAAAACATATTTACTTCATAGTCTGTAAACTGTCATATTCAACTAAGAAGTCAGTTCTGAAAGCTTCTGAGTCTTATGTAAATTTGTATTACTGTAGCTATTATTTTTGAATTGCTTTTACTCCGTTTGCCTTTCCTCTATGGCTATGTGCACTTGAAAGCAGAAATTATCCCTCTAGATTTTGTTTCCTCATCATTTAGTACAGTGTTGGACACAGTGATAAATGCTACTGACCTAAACTAAAGCAATTAGAAGAACTTTTTGGATTCATCTTGATAAAAGAACAGATTTTTAAAAATAAACTTGGAGTATCAAACCAGCCCAAATGAATTCAAAGCACAAGCACCATAGTATCTGTACTCATAACTTAAATATTAATTTTAAAAGTAAGGTAAATTAAACAGCATTATCTAAAAATGCTATTCTAATGAACTAACTGTGATTTGCTTGGACAAGCCAGGAAGAATGGGGAAGAATGGGGTGTTCAGGTTTGAAGTGTTACCCAAAATTTCCTGTGTTAATGCAGCCATATTCAGAAGTGAAATGACTGGATTGTGAGCTGTAACCTAAACAGTGCATCCTAGTTTGAATGGACAAACTGGGTGTTAATTGTAGCCTAGAATAAGTGGGTCACTGGTGGAGTGCCCTGGAAGGATTCATCTTCTCTGTGGTCCCTTCTCTTTGTCTTTGATTCTCCAGCTACCATAACATGAGCAGCTTTCTTCTGCCATACCCTTCTACCATGGTGCTCTTCCTCTCCTTGATCCCAGAGTGATGGAACTGGCCAACCATAAACTAAAACTCTGAAACCATGAGCCTAAATAAACATTTCCTCTTGTAAATTGTTCTTGTTGGGTATTTTGGTCACAGTGATAAAAAGCTAACATGCTGGGGACTTGCTCTTATCTAATAAACAGGAATTTTACTCAAACATCTTTTGACTGTAATCCCTTTTCTGCTGTCCAGAGGAGTCATTATTTTCCACTGTTCCCATGTCTGGGAGTGAACTCTCATAAATAACTCCTATAAACAGCTGATATCCAAATCCAGATTACTTGGCCTCGAGCAGGTTGTTCATCCCTCTTGACAAAGTTGTTCTCAGGCTTTCTCTCTATGAAGACTGTAAGAGGGTAGAGTCCCTTGCCTGGAGATTTACCATGAATATGTCCAACAGGGTGTCTGGTCCCAGCTTGCCTGTCTGTGGAGCAGTGGGAAGAACAGGGCACCCATGACTTTTCTTCTTGCTGATCTTTGACTTTAAGTTTTCTAAAATTTTGAACTCTTAACCTTATGAAATTTGTCTTGAACTCTGCCTCATGATCCCTCACATAAAGAGAAAACATATCGTGGAATAATTCCACAATGCTAGTTCTAAACAATATACCTGTATTTATTCTTTTAAACTTTATAATAAACCCGTGGGGCAAGTACAATTATTATCCTCATTTTATGGACAAGAAACTTCATCATATTGAGGTTGAACTTACCTAAGGTCACATACCTAAAATCTCTAGCTTCAAGGCTAAAAAGCAACTCAAAAATATAAATTACACAATTGCTTAAAAAAACCTTTCTAATGGGTTTTAAACTTATTTATCCAAAGATGTAGATATTAATCACTTAAAATAGTTGGGCATTATACATAAGAGATAATATAATGAGTAAGGCATATCTTCATCTTTAGGAGATTATATAATGTAGTTAAAGGAGGGCAAGGATTGTGAATACAGCAAATGCCACTCAGAACAGAATTGGAGCACTAGGGAGGGATGCTAACAGCCTAGGAAGACTTCTCAAGGAGGTGATCTGAGTCTTAAAGGAAGCCAGCAGTGTAAAGAAGGTGGGTTGAAGAGAGGAGATGTGATCTGGAATACAGTAGCAACATTTATAACTTTGAGAGCTCATTGTGTGCCACGTTCTGTACCAGGTGTTTTGATATAGTTTGGATCTTATTTGGGTCTTAAAATGTATATTGTATGGCTATATACATTTTATGTATGGTTATATACATTTTATAGCTAAGAAAACTGAAGTTCAAACTGATTAACAGATTGCATGAATATCACACAGCAAATAATTCTCTAAAGAATGACTTTGGTTGTCACCACAGTAGGCTCTGAATCATAGAAGTGGCTGACAAAGTCTCTCCTG